CGCAGAGGCGGCTCAAGGTGTGTGGGGCGGGGAGTGGAATGTGGGTCAGTGTCCGGGGCTCCCCGGGGCGCGACGGGCCGGCACGGGGTCAGGTCCACAGGTGGTGGGCGCGGACCCGCGGGGGCGGGGCGGCTGGGCGCCGGGATCTATAAATAGCCCCGCTCCAGCGCCGCTGCAGCCGCCACCCCCGCGGCTGGATCCGGGCCACGGGGCCGCCCACCCCCTGGTACACTCGCGAGGGGTGAGTATTGAGGCCGGGCTCCTCCTGCCCCTGAAGGGCCTGGGCATGTCCCAAGGGTCTCAGTGTCGGTGCCCTCTGTCCACCACTCAAGGGAGGACACTGCCTGTGTCCGCTGTGGCCAGACCTCTGTTCCCTACACACACACACACACACGCACACGCACACGCACACGCACACGCACACGCAGACACACACACACACACACACACAGTCTTGGGACCCTGCAAAGCCCCTCTTTGAGGCTGGGACAAAGGTGCCTTCTCCAGCCACCCCCCGACCTGCCTTCCCACCTCCTGGCCTTTGCCCACAGGCCTCACCCCTTTCTGCCATTGAAATGCCCCACTCTGGGGGCTCTGTCCTCTGCTGCCTCCTTGCCCGAGCCGGGATGGGGGACGGCATGGGGCTGCCCAGGAGCCCCAGGGTACCCCTGACCTGCCCTGCCCCTGCCCCCCAGGATATTGACAAGCAGTACGTGGGCTTCGCCACGCTGCCTAACCAGGTGCACCGGAAGTCGGTGAAGAAGGGCTTCGATTTCACGCTCATGGTGGCTGGTGAGTGGGCCAGGCTCCCCGGTGGGGTGGCTGGGGCCACCGGCTGGCCAGGTTCTGTTGTGGGGCCCTCCGACCTCATCCGACTCCTTCCCTGTATCTGTGGGCAGGTGAATCGGGCCTGGGGAAGTCCACACTGGTCCACAGCCTCTTCCTGACCGACCTGTACAAGGACCGGAAGCTTCTCAGTGCTGAGGGTGAGTGAACCCCGAGCTGTCGGGGCACTGGTCACCATCCCCTCCTGTGTGATGACCCCTCAAGGGGTGCCCTTCCAGGTCCATCCCCCCTCCTCCCTCCCCACAGCATGGGGCTTCTGTTCAGGGTCCTGCAGGAGTGGCCTGAACCACAGCAGGGCCCTGTGGCTGGGGCCAAAACACTAGGAAGGAATGAGAACAGCATCCTGGCTGCCCAGGGGGAGGGGGAGGCCCTGTCAGTGAGGCACCTCCCAGCTGTGTCTGTCTCCCCCGCAGAGCGCATCAGCCAGACGGTAGAGATCCTGAAGCATACGGTGGACATTGAGGAGAAGGGCGTCAAGCTGAAGCTCACCATTGTGGACACGCCGGGCTTTGGGGATGCAGTGAACAACTCTGAGTGGTGAGGCAGGCCTGGCGGGGGGGCAGGACCTGCCCAGCTGACCCAGCCTCCCCCTGTGCCAGCAGGCTGGCCTCACAGCCCGGCCTCACGCACCCTCTTGCCCGCAGCTGGAAGCCCATTACCGACTACGTGGACCAGCAGTTTGAGCAGTATTTCCGCGACGAGAGCGGCCTCAACCGCAAGAACATCCAAGACAACCGGGTGCATTGCTGCCTGTACTTCATCTCTCCGTTTGGGCACGGGTGCGTGACTGTCCTGAGGCCAGGGGCCGCCTGCCTCCACAGCCATTCCTCCCTGAGCCCTGCCCCCCCCTCCCTGCCCCACCATGACCCCAGCAGCCCCTCACCACCCTGGCTGCTCCCTTGCAGGCTGCGGCCGGTGGACGTGGGTTTCATGAAGGCTCTGCATGAGAAGGTGAACATCGTGCCCCTCATTGCCAAAGCTGACTGTCTGGTCCCCTGTGAGATCCGGAAGCTGAAGGAGCGGGTGAGCATACGTGGCAGTGGGTCTGGCCCAGGACTTGGTTCCAAGAGCACCAGGTGTGCCGACCCCAGACATCAACACACCGGGCCCAGGGGACCTTGCCAGCCCTGAAGCTGACAGCCTTGCCCCACTGCAGATCCGGGAAGAGATCGACAAGTTCGGGATCCACGTGTATCAGTTCCCTGAGTGTGACTCAGACGAGGACGAGGACTTCAAGCAGCAGGACCGGGAACTGAAAGTGAGTATGCCGTCCAGGGGGCGGGGAGGGAGCAAAAGTCCAGTTCACATGGCGCCTGGAGGAGGCCGGGTGCCCAGCTCCCACGTGGGGGTTGCAACAGAGGTCTGTAGCCTGGGCAGTAGAGTCTCTTCGCCTAGCCTGAGAGGACGAGGGGCACCCATGTTCCTGCCTGCCCACAGGCACAGCTTCTGGCCAGGCCCCCACCCTAACCCTGCTCCTTGGTCTCCTCGTGAATCCCCAGCCACTGGTTGTGTGTGCACTGGCTCCCAGAATTCTGTGCAACAGAGGATGGGGTGGCTTTGAGTGCCCCTGCACCTGGAGTGGTTATGACCAAGCTCAAACTGGGGACACGTGGTCACAGGGCCAGGAGCAGGGTTGGGCAGGGATATCACTGGAGGCATAAACTCAGTTATAGGCCCTAGGACAGTGGTTCTCAACCTTCCTAATGCCGAGACCCTTTAATACAGTTCCTCATGTTGTGGTGACCCCCAATTTCATTGTTACAAATTGAACATAGTTAAAGCACAGTGATTAATCACAAAAACAATATGTAATTAAATATGTGTTTTCTGATGGTCTTAGGCAACCCCTGTGAAAGCGTCGTTCAACCCCCAAAGGGGTCGCGACCCACAGGTTGAGAACTGCTGCCCTAGGACAAGCATGTCAAACTCGTGGCCGACAGACCGCATGCCTCATTTAAGTAAACGCCGGCCGCGAGTTTGACATGCTTGCACCTAGGATGTAGGCTGCACCAGCTCTGGCCTCAGCCAGCAGCAGGGAGGCTGGGGGGTGAGAGGGGTTTCCACTAGGATCGCTTTGGGGAGAGGTCACTGATGGTGATGCTGGGGGAGCTGACCAGGCGCTGAGTGCCCAAGCCCCTCTCCAACCACTAACCCATCCTGATTGGGCGTGAGCCCTCGCACCTGCCCCTCCGCAGGAGAGTGCACCCTTCGCGGTAATCGGCAGCAACACGGTGGTGGAGGCCAAGGGGCAGCGAGTCCGGGGGCGACTGTACCCCTGGGGGATCGTGGAGGGTGAGTCCAGGCATCGGGCACAGCCTGCTGGGTGGGAAGGCTGACCCTGGCTGGCGCCCCACCCACTGCGCGCTCCCGCCCCACAGTGGAGAACCAGGCGCACTGCGACTTCGTGAAGCTGAGAAACATGCTCATCCGCACACACATGCATGACCTCAAGGACGTGACGTGCGACGTGCACTACGAGAACTACCGCGCACACTGCATCCAGCAGATGACCAGGTGCGCCATCCCCCACACCCGGGCGTGCACCTCCTGGCCTCAGACGCACCTCCATAACCAAGTTGTCCTGGCTGCCCACCCAGACTTGAACCCTGCCCCAGCCCCCAGATCGGCTCCCCAGCACCTTGCCTCCCCAGCCCAGCCCAGAGGTGTGGGAGCTCAGGAGGGCAGCCTTGGTAGTGGTGAGGTTGGCTGAACCTCCCAGCAGCACTGTTCCTCTTGTCCACCCTGCAGCAAACTAACCCAGGACAACCGCATGGAGAGCCCCATCCCCATCCTGCCACTGCCCACCCCCGACGCTGAGACGGAGAAGCTTATCAGGATGAAGGATGAGGAGGTTGGTGAGGCCTGGAGCAGGGGCGGGGGTGGGAGGAAAGGCCAGCGGCTGGGGACTGAGCCAGGACCCTCCCATCTCATTTCTCACCCCACCTTCCGGGGTTCCTGCCCCACTTCCCAGCTGAGGCGCATGCAGGAGATGCTGCAGAAGATGAAGCAGCAAATGCAGGACCAGTGACCCCTCCCCAGCCCTACGTTGCCATGGATATACTGCCAGTTTCTGGACTGGCCCTTTCCACTCCTGGACCCCGACTGGCCTGGATTCGACCCTGGATTCATCTGGACCTCTGACAGGCCTGGAAGCAACCCCAATCCCAGAGTGGCCTAGACCCAGACTGTTCCCGACCTGACCCAGAGACGTGGGGTCACAACCCCAGCCATCCCTAATTTATTCTCAGCATCAGCCCCTCCCCTCACTTGTATCTGTTTCCATGGGGCCTGGGCAATGGCCCCCACTCTGGCCTTGGAGGAGCAGGAGCTGGTTGGGCTGTGACTTTTGAGAACCCCCCATCCCCCACCCCCATCTCAGAAGGTCACGGCCCTCAGACTCCAGGCCCTACTCAGGCAGAAGAGGGGAGCAGATCCCCAGGGTCTCGGACCTATTCCCCCACCCAGTGTCACCGCACAGACTTGGGAGCTGTGTCCCCCTGCTCCCGTGGGCCGCCCAGCACATGCTGAGACCTCACTTGGTGTGGATGCGGCCAGGTCCTCTCTTCCCTCCTCACCCAGGAGCTCAGCAGGCAGATGGAGCACCCTAGGCACTTAGGGTCCCTCCAGGCCTAAGGAGGCCAGGATGGAGCGAGGGGTTGGGATGCAGTGATAGCCCGTGCCCCTCCCCCACAGCTGTGGTTTGGGGAGGGCTCCAGGAGCAGTGGGCTGTGGGCCGTCCCCTGGCAACCCCATGCCTAGACTGCTGTTCCCTGCCTGTGGCTGGGGTTCCTTCTCCCCAGCATCATTGTTGCCCTGGGTTCCCCAGCCCTTGGCCCCGTCCACCATCCCCCCCCCCCCCCCACCCGCATGAACCCGTTCCCCAAGCCCCATTCTCCAGTTTTGTTAAGTTGTGAATGCCCTCCTGTCCTGGTGACGGGAGAACAATGTTGGTGAACGTTGCTGCGGGTGTCCGAGTGCTCCTTTTGCCCCCGGGGCCGAGTGGGGGCGGAAGTTCGGGCGGCGCTGGCCCCCGGCGATAGCGCTCTATCAGCAGCCCGCTGCGCCTGCGGAGGCAGCCTGGGGTTATTTCTGGCGGGGCAGCTGTGCTGTGGTCGGTGTACCGGGAGCGCCGGGGCCTGGCAGGGACGTGGCGGCCTTATCTCCCGGTTCTCGGGCAAACGCCTCCACTCCAGAGCGAGCCGGGCCGCCATCCTCTCGCCATGGGCTCTGGTGAGTCTGATGGCCGGGCCGGGCCACACGCTGAGCAGAGTCGGATTGGGAGACCCTCCACTCGTTTTGGCTGCAGTGGGGGGAGATTGGGGTCAGACTTGGAGGAAACTTGCAGCCAGTGCACGGGGTGGTCGCGGGGGCGAGGCTTGCGAGCGCTGGGGGAGCGCGGGTCTCCGGGGCTGGAGGTCGGGCCGGCGCTCTGGGTGCCGAGGGACCCACCCCGTTGCCCAGCAAGCCATCCAGTTGCCAGCAAGCCACCCGGCTCACCGCGGCGCTTCCTTTCCAGGGCCGCGCGGGGCGCTGAGCCTAGTGCTCCTGCTGCTCGCGCCGCTGAGCCGCCCGGCCGCGGGCTGCCCCGCGCCGTGTCGCTGCGCCGGGACACGCGTGGACTGCGGGCGCCGCGGGCTGACGTGGGCCTCGCTGCCGGCCGCCTTCCCACCGGACACAACCGAGCTGGTGCTGACGGGCAACAACCTGACGGCGCTGCCGCTGGGGCTGCTGGACCGGCTGCCCGTGCTGCGCGCGGCGCACCTGAGCGCCAATCCCTGGCGCTGCGACTGCCGCCTGGTGCCGCTGCGCGCCTGGCTGGCCGGCCGCCCCGAGCGCACGCTCTACCGGGACCTGCGCTGCGCCGCGCCCCCGGCGCTGCGGGGCCGCCTGCTGCCCTACCTGAACGAAGAAGAACTGCGCGCCGCCTTGCTCGCCCGGCGCGCTCTGCTGGGGGGCGCTGGCGGCGCAGCTGGTGCTGCTGGTTCTCGGGCTGCTGCACGCGCTGCTGCTGGCGCTGCTGCTGCGCCGCCTGCGAAGGCTGCGCGCCCGCGCCGTACACCGCCTGTCGCTGAACGCCCTGCTCATGGCGGAGCCGGCCGGTGACAGCGATTCCTAGGAGAAACGGACCGGCGCTGAGCGAGGTGGGCCTGCCAATTGGACAGGACCCTGCCCCACAGCCCTCGCCCTAACCGGGAGCCACTCTCCTCCAGCCAGGCTTCATCTTCCAGCCCCGCCCGTCTGCAGGCCCTGGTCCACCGCTAAGCCCTGGGGACCAACTGCAGCCCAGACGCTGCGGAGTCCCTCACGCCAAACTCCAGTGCAGAATAAACCCTAACCCTTCTCCCGATCTGATCCGTCTCTACACCCACAGCCTGGGATCCTCTTCCCAAAACCACACAAAAAGCTCCAAGAAGCAGTTCAAGGGGACACTCACCTCCCTACACCCCAAATAACCTCCAGAAATGCGGTCAGTGAGTAAACTCTCCCCAGCCACTGACTCTCACAGAAGTTCAAGTGGGGAGGGGACCCCAAAGGACGATGACACACTCGGGTAGTGAGGACACTGGGCAATGAGGACTCTGGGGAGAGTGAGGACAGTTTGGGGACAGCGAAGACACTGTGGACAGTGAGGACCGTGTGTGAACAGCCAGTAAACGTGCAGCCAGTGCGCAGAGTGGTCGAGTGGTCGGGGTGGTGAGGTTTGTGGACAATGGGGGTCGCGGGTCTCCAAGGCTGGGGTCAGGCCTGGTGCTTTGGGTGCTAAGGGACCCCACCCAGGTGCCCAGCAAGCTACCCGGCTCACCGCAGTGCTGTGGAGACAGCAAGGACACAGCGGGGACATCAAAGACAGTGGGGGGCAGTGAGGACACTGTGGGGAGAAGAAGGATCCTGGGGAGTGAGTACGGGGGGGGGTGCTGTGAGGACACTGTGGGGACAGTAGCACCCTGTGGGCAGTGGAGACACTGGCAAGGTTGGACATGGTGGGGAGTAAGACACGGGACACTGGGGACAGTGTGGGGACAGTGAGGACAGTGTAGGGCAGAGGACAGTGTGGGGCAGAGAGGACACTGAGGACACTGGTGGCCCAGCACCCCCAGAGCCCTGGTGGGGGTCAGAGGTGATAGTTGTTGTCACAGCAAGGAACATAGGCAACTTCCTAAACTTAGTCCCAACATGGTGCCGGGAGGGGGCACCCCACTACTTTCCAGAGGAGGAAATGGACCCCACAGTGTTGAGAGAGAGGACGTTCTAAGCGGCAGTTTCCGGGGTCAGTGTGGGACTGTGGGGTGGCTCTGAGGACAGTTCCGTGTGTGAGGTTTCCCAGGGGCAGCCTTTGGAGCAGTCAGGGTGAGGTGGGGATGGTCAGGACAGCCTGGCGGCCCACCTGGAGCTCCCTGGGCATCTAGTGAGAAGCTCTGGACGGCAGGTGGGGCAGGGCCCAAGCCATGCAAGGCGGGGTCTATAGATGTCCCTGCAGGGGTGCATGGGCACCCAGGGCTGCAGGGTCTCTGAAGTCATGTCCTCCCCGTGCCACCCTCACTGCGGGAAGGCACCTCAGACTGCACAGACCAGCCAGGGGCTTCTCGGGGCCTTAAGTCACCCTGACCCCTGGCTGTCAATCAGGGCTGGGGACCCCACTGTGATTGCCCTAGTGCAGCACAGGCTGCTTACAGGGGACCCGGGGTGCCCCAATGAGGAGCTGATGTGTCCTCACTCCTGCCCAGATGTGGCCTCCACCTGGCTGGCCCTGTGAACAATGGAGGCTGCTCTCCATGGACCCCAAACAGGACCCCAGTGGAGCCTCAGGCCTGGGCCTCAGCCGCCTGGCACAGGAAGGCCCGGACCCCCACTGACCGGGTCGGGGAGGCTGCCGCTGACACGGCCTTTGTCCTGGCCTTTGTAGGACAAGACGGATGACTCTCCGGTCGGGCTGATGCTATCTCGGGTCTACTGGTGGGACGTGAGGCAGGAGCCACCCCGCCTTTGTAGGCAGGTGCGAGGCATCCGGCCGTCCTTCCAGGCTTATCACCACATCGGAGATGGTGGCTCCTTTGTACAAATGAACTGCTACCCTGCCCTCCCTAGGGGTGGCCCAGCACCCCCAGAGCCCTGGTGGGGGTCAGAGGTGATGGTCGTTGTCACAGCAAGGAACACAGGCAACTTCCTAAACTTAGTCCCAACATGGTGCCGGGAGGGGGCACCCCGTTATGCTCCAGAGGAGGAAACGGACCCCACAGATGAGTCTCCTGCTGGGCTCAGAGCTTCCTTCGTGGCTGAGACCAGGCACCTGGGACGAGGCCCCAGCAGGAGCTGTGGGGGGTGGTCAGCAGGAGCCCAGCTTCACTGCCCACAGGCTTGAGGACTCCTGGGCCAGTACCCAGATGACAGAGTGAGCATCAGGGCTCTGAGGGCATGAAGGAGGAAAGAGGCTGGCGATACAGTGTGGTCAGACCTAAGCAAGCACTTCCCACTTGGTGGATGGGGGGGCTGAACCCCATGGTCCTCCCGGGATTCCCCCACCCCTCCTGCCTGTTCTCCAGGATTTAGACCTGCCTCTGCCAAGGTACTGACAGGGGGACACTGGCCTGGCCGCGATGGCTGACCTTCTCCAGGCTGCCCGGGAGCCCCCGGTCCCAATCCTGACCCTGAGCTGACCCTCTACACACTGACCCCAGGGCCTCAGCCCCCAAGGAGTGTGGGGAAGTGGATGGTCCCAGCTCAGTGCCCCTGAATGGCCCTATTCAGGGAGGGCGAGCATAGACCGCTCAGCCCACACCAGGAGGCCTACCGTGCCCCTCACCCCACCATTGTCCTCCATCTCACGGAGAACACCCCAATTCCAGGGCCCCTTCCCCACTGACAGGCTGGTCCCTTCTGTGGCCCCAGACTCCTTCCAGATGGGAACAGGTGGGGGTCCATTCAAAGGCCCTGCACAGCCCCCCCACATCTCCAGCTCTCAGGCTGGCTGATTGAGGACCCCTGCCCTGCAGCCCAAGGGGTCTGGGCCCACACCTCTGCTCCCCCAGCCCCCCTGGGCTCCCAGGACCCTCCCCTTTCCATCAAGGCCCAGCCTCGGTGTACCCTCCCTGCCCAGGCCAGTTCCTGCTCAAGCATGTCCTCCGCAGGGAGCTTCCCTGGCACATGGCGCAGATCACTGTGTCCAGCCCGGCCTGGGCCCCTGAGGTCCGCCAGGGGCTCAAGCCACATCCCAGGCCTGCATGCAGCCAGCTAGTGAGTGAGTGACCGGTCAGAGGGTTGGATAGAGCGAGCCTCCGCAGGGCCACCGCGTTCCCGAGCAGAGACAGCCGTGACCTTCCCCTGGGAGCCTTGGTGTGTCCTCATCCGTGAAATGGTGGGTGCTGCTGGCGCCCCCGTCCAGTCCTCCCCTCGGGCGCCGCCACCCCGACCAGACACCAGAGGGCGCTCGCGGTCTGCGGAAACGCAGGCAGGAGGGCGGTAGGCGAAGTGGGCGCTGGGTGCAGACAGCCAGGGTCCGCGGAGAAACAGAGGCCAAGAGACGGAGACTTGCCCAGGCTGGCGGGCGGTGGAGAGCCGAGAGGGGCGGGCAGGTGGCACACCCCATGGGGACGGGGAGGGGTGCGCCCTGGGACGCTGACAGATGGGGCGGGGTGTGCGCCCCGTCCGCCGCTCCCTTCCCCTCCTTCTCCCCGAAGTCTAGCCCACCCCTCCCCCCCCCCCGCGGGCTTGCTGACAGCCTGTCAACCCCGGAGATAAGGGACCTCTTCCGCCGGGCGGAGGGGAGGGGGTCAGCCCAGGTGTGCCCTCCGCCCTCCCCTCCGTGTCCCTGACGCCTGTTTGCTCCGAAAACACTTATTGAGCCCCTGCTGTGTGCACCGAGCGGGGGAGGGGGGGGGCAGAGCGGCTGCCAGGGGGCAAGAAGGCGACAGTGAGGGGCTGGCCTCAGCCCCTTCTGTCTCCTCTGCCGCCCACCCGGGAGGAGGCCTGGAACAGGCTCCCCAGAGGAGTGGAACTTCCCAACTAACCTGGTGGTGGGGGAAGGGATGTGGGGGTCCTCCAAGGGCCCTCCTCCCGCCTGGGGAGGCGAGGGGGAGCCTGGGGAGGGGGCTGGCCACTCACTGGGCGGAGGAGGCCCTGGGAAGGTCTGGGGGACCGAACCCCTGGCCAGGTTGTGGTGGTGGGGGGTGCACCCGCCGACCAGACGGAGCAACAACATTGGGGTGGGTGGTGGAGCCCTGGGGGCCCATAGCTCACTGCACAGTCTGCGCCCACCCCCGGCGTTTCCGATGGAAGACAGGCAGTGGGTGATAAATCACCAGGTCCCACCCCTACCCACCCAGGCGGCCATGGGAAGGGGGGCTGCATGGGACAGAGACAGAGCCTGAGACAGAGACAGACAGAGACGGGAAGACCGCCACAGAGAGACAAGCGGCCATGGGGGCCAGCTGACACCGGCCAGGCCCCTATGCTCAGGGTGTCTGGCTTCCCACCCCTAGGTGCCCCCGCCACCAGACCCATCTGGAAACCAGCTGAGAGCCACCCTACCCCAGCTGACCCCCAACTGGGAGGAGGAGGAGGAGGAGGAGGAGGGAGCAAGGCCTTAGCAGCCCAACTCCTGTCTACCCTGGAGGGCCATAAATCAGCAAGAGCTCTCCCCTCACTGCCCCCAGCGGAGGGGGGTCTTTGGGGTCACTGGTCCTGGCCTTAGCTGTGTCCCTTCCTCCTTAAACAGCCCTTGGGGCACCCACTGGCTGACCTCTCCCCCCCCCCCTCCGCCCCCGGCATAGTCACACCTGGGAGTGTCTGCACCCAGTGCTGTCTGCTGGATGCACACTCGCTGCCCTCCTCTGTCTGCAGGGAGACCGGGGGGCTGGCCCTGCAGGAATTGGGGGTCCTGGTCCTCCCCAGTGAAGCCTTCCCAGGGGTCCACCTTGCCTCAGGGGGAATGCCATCTGTCCCTCCTTCCGACCTGCCTTCCTGCCACACACACATCCCCAGGGTGCTGAGGCCAGCTGGACGAAGGGTGCTGAGAGATGAGCCAGGTGGGGATCCTCCACAGGTGGGTGTGCCCCTGGGGTCAGTACTTAGTGGGCAAGGCTTTAGAGAGCCCATGGGAGTGCCCCCCATGGTCCAGAACCCCAATCCCAGCCAGGCTGCCCCCGTGGTCCGTGCTGCAGACAACCCCTCAGGGCTCAGGTGACAGAGATAAAGCTACCTGTATACAAGGAAATGTAGTGTCCACCATGACATCTTTCGTGGCTCAAAGAGTGGT